TGAGAATTTGTTCTGTTTTATACAGTTTCTAGTCCAGATAAAAAGAATAATTCTGTAGAAACTGAAGGATTTTAAGTTTATTTTTGCATCACACGTGATACGTTCAAGGACTGTAGGAAAGTTGGAAATCTGAGGTGTTAGAGGCGCTAATAGGAGTGAAACTGCCTGGTGAGGGATCTCAGGACTGCATTAGAAACCCCTGACTCGTGGTGTTCACCTCCTCGGGTTGGAGTTCTTCCTGACCGTCTGTGCAGATTCAGATTCTAACTTACTGCTGATGAGTCCAGATGATTTGTTCTAAACCCTGAATCCCATTTTGAAGATGTTGATGGTGTTAAAGCTGCCTGGGCCTGCGTTATGACTGAACCTCCATCACCTGATGTTGGTATCCGTCCTGACGTTCTCTCTCCTCTGAATGTCTTCCAGGACCAGGATGGAGGTTCTGAGCGGACCCTGGGCCGACCTCGCCCTGTTCCTGCGACAAACCGCCACGGCGTCCCACGGACAGACGGACGGTTTCCTTCCTCTGCTCGGCCTGCTGCTCTTCCTGTCCGTGTGTCTTGTGCTGCTGCAGCTGATCTTCTGCCTCCGCTGGAAGCTGGCTCAGGGTGAGCACACATTAACTTTTCATGTCTACTTCATGTCCACGATGCTCGCTGTGTTATATTTACTACCGCGGCGTGTAGCTGAGTGGATGCTTTAAGTCCTCATGTGTGTTCCAGTTTAAACTGGCTGCAGAGACCAACAGCAGGAAGGTCGAGATGTTCTCATTTCAGATCCACAACGAAACGTGGATCGCATCAGAAACACACAAACACTGCAAACTGTGTGCAAGTGTTTTGTGAAGCGAACACGACAAGTCGTGTCGCCTGCAGGTAGAGAAAGATGTCCTGAGGCCCTGACTGAGCTGCACTCTGAATAATGAAAGGCAGCCAAAATAGACAACTGGAGAAAAAACACAGAACTTAACAAAGTTCAGGAGGGATCCGTTTTTGCATTTCTGTGCTAATTTGCCTGTGAAGCCGTGAATCACTGGGTTCTGCTGGCCCGGTTTGTGTTCAGATGGAACCGTGTGAGTTAGGCGCTGGTCTCAGTGTGTGACTGAGAAGCCAGCGTTGAATCTCCGGTGAACTCGACCTCTTTGTTCTCTGTGTTTGGTCACAAACACCTTCTGCAGACGTCACGGTTCAGGTTCAGCATCTGCTGTGGAAACGACTTTAAAACGTGGAGACAAAGAGCAGCTCATCTGAACGTGGTCTGCACCAGAGGGAGTGTTTTATCGTGGCTGCTTCGTGGAGCCGGAACAGAATGAAACAGTTAAAATCAAAGTCCTGATGTCTGCTCCTCCTGTTACCGTCATTTGGATGATTTATATTCAGATCCTGAAGTCCTAAAAGCCACCAGCAGGTTTTTTAAATTACAAATTTCACCATTTATCAGCTAAAAACTGAAAAAAATGATCAGATTTCCAAGTTTCCCACAGTTTAACCGAAATAAAACAAATCTGACTTCTTTTTCTGATTCATGTCACACTAACAGAAGACTTTTTAAATCCTCCTTCATGTTGTTCTGGTTCCACTGAGGTCCAGGACTTTATGAGGACGTTGGAGCTTAAAGGGTTAAACAATAAACCCAAACCTGTCTAACGAGGAGCATCGTCTGATTAATTACAGTAAATCCAACATTAATTACTCAGCGTTGCGTCTCCAACAGTCTGCTTCGGTTCTGTTGGGTCTGAAGAAGCTCGGTTCTTCTGACAGACTTTAGAAAACGACTCTTTAGTGTTTTAAAGCTTTCTGTCTCTGGAGGACCTGAACGAGTTCCTGGATGGGGGGCCGGAGCAGCTCCTGTTGTTGATCAACAGAACAATTATGATCAATTAGAGCGAAGTGCACACCTGCAGTTTACTGTCGGTTCCACATTAACGAAGCTTCTGTTTACTGACACACCACCACAAGGTTTAGATGCTTTACTGATACAGCAAAGTAGAAGTCCTGCATTACAAACAGAAAGAAGAATATTTCCCCTGAGATGTAATCAAGTGCTCAAGTAAAGCACCTTTAAAGTTCTACTTAATCCCACTGCTGGACCAGATGATGTTAAACTTGTCTTTTATTTGAGCAGCTGTGTCGGTTTCTTTCTCTTTTACACCCACTGACGTGTTTTTGTTGCGTTTTTCCAGCTGCGTCTTTATTTGAGACGTCAAAGCGTCTCTGAACCGCAGAAGCTGCAGCCGGAGAACATTAGAAGGTTCCTAATAAAACACACGAGTGTTTCCAGGAAAGTAAATCAGACGTCATGACTGAAGCAGAGGAGCAACAGGATGGTTTAGTTCTAGGTTCTAGGAATAAACCGCATATATAATAAAAATAGAACAAATACTAATACATACAAATAATAAAACATCAAAAAAAATGTATTAAAATAATCATATTTACAAATAATAATTAGTAAAAAATATTTAGAATAATAAAATATGATTATAATACAAATGAAAATATGTATAAATAATATAAATAATACAATTTTATGCAAAAGAGTAAAAGATAAAATTCTATTAATGAATAATGAAATTAAATACGTTCAAGTAATTTTAAAATAAAGCATAAATAATAATATATGAAATATAAACCAAATTGCAAAAATAAAATAGTAATATGAATAAATAATAATCAGCATATAATGACAATAATGACAATAATAATAATAATTGCAGGACCAAAATCTAGTTATTGTAAACATCTTTGCAGACATAATATGTGATAAATTCTATGATGATAATGACATAAACATTGGATGTAATAAAAGAAAATTATAATATAAATAGATTAAATTTTTTTTTTTTAAAGAAAAATATTGCATGTAAAAAAAACATAAGAAAATATATAAAATAATGTCAATATACATAAATAAATAAACTAATTATATATAAAATAAAAAATAAAATATCTATGAAATTTTAGAAATGCATTAATACCGATAATATAATAATTTATGTAGAAATAGGAAGGATCATTTCTGGTGGACTAAAATATATTATTGTAAATACGTCTGCAGATCCAATCAGTGACAAATAATTATCCTCTGATTATAATTACCTGAATAATTAAAGCTTCAAGCGTTTACGGTGATACTGTCTCACATCTTATCTACATGATAAACTCTAACAGGTGCATCAATCTGTTCTGTTCTTCTCACTGATTTCCTTCCTGTCGTCTTCGTTCCTCCACAGCTGAAGCCGATCTGTCCGAGCACCAGCAGGACAGAAGCTCCATCTACAGGCAGCTGGACAGAAACGCTCACCTGATGAGGAGGACGAGGAGGAGGAGGGTCGGCACTCATTCAGGCTCCTGATGAAGAGCAGGATGGACTCTGGAGGAGTCGGCGGCTCCGTCCTGAACTCTGCCGTCCACACAAACTCCATCAGGTTTCATCAGAATAAAAACCTCCAGCTGTAACTGAAGCTGTGAGGACGTGGTTCTGTTTCACCTCCTGGGTTCTCTGAGGAACCTGGACGCTGATGAAACATCTGCTGCCGACAGAAAACTCTCACATCTGGACGCCTGGAAGCATCTTTTACTGACGGATTTGTTTCTGCCTTCGTGTTTAAGCTCCAGATTTCATGTTTTTTGTATTATTTTGCACAATAAAGTAAAGTCAGTGAGATTAAAACAACTCTAGAGGCTTTCAAAAGAATTAAACTAAGACGCATCATAAACTAATAATAAAGCAAAGAATGAGCAAATAGACGAATAACATGAGATAATGAGGATGTTTCCAGATGTTTAAGGAACCTGCAAACTGTGCAAAAGCAGTAAAACTACAGTTTAAAAATACTGCTACAAGCACGTATTTAACATACCTGCAGTAAAAGTACTCACTGTGCAGAATGACACGTTTCATTTATTATTGATTAATTAACGCTTTCATCACTTAATTTCTGCAGCTGGAGCTGATTTATTGACTTCACACACAACTGAGTGACTTAATCTATCAAATATAACAAAATATATTAATTTATATGATATATTAATAAACTCAACCTGCAAACAACCAACAACTAAGCTTTAAAATCAATGTGCTGGAGTCCAACATGTTATATTTGTCTCTATAACAGTGAGTATAAATACTCAGGTCCTGTACTTTAGTATATTTTGATGCTCATATGTTTGTACTTTTACTATTTCTACACTGGTATTGTTACTTCTACTGACAGTATTTGATGTTGCTTGTGTTTTAGAATAATAATAGAGAACATTAAAGGCTCTAAACCTGAAGCTTGTTGGTTAATTTGCATAAATTTGCATATTTAATCATCCTGTTGGGCTTTAGAATCAGTATTTAAACTCGTTCGGTTGTATTTCTTTATTGAAAAACACTTTGAATTTGAATTTACTGTAGAAACAACTCGACTAAAGTTAAACTTTTGTATGTGGCGGCTTTTAAAAGCAAAGTTTAAACGAACTTTAGAAGAAAATGATAACGAACCAAAACCAGAGACTCAACACGATTAAATCACGACGATTTCTGTCTGCTCAGAAACAACACAAGAGGGTTTTAGTTGGAAATCTAAAAGATGAAACTGATTATTTTCTCCAGTAAAGAGATTTAAAACGACAGTTTAGCTTAAAATGTTGGTTCATATTCTACATTAAAAACCAAAAACAAATCAAATTAAATCTTTAAAACCAAAGCATAGAGGCAAAAAGTGGAAAATGTGCCTCTGAAATATATTCAGATGATGGATTAACACACAAATACTTAAAGACAAACTGTATTTAAGCTGTTATTGGACAAACTGGATAAAAAGTGAAGCTCAATGACGTGTTTAAATCAAATTAACCGGCTGATTTTCCCTCATTTAACACAATTAGAACCGACTTTTTTATGTTGTGCTTCTATTGTAGGACATATTCTTTGACCGTTGAGCAGCTGGACTGATTTCTCCTCATTGATCCCTGAAGCAGAAGGAAAACTGATGAATGAGGACGTGGACGGAGTCAGAGTATAACAATCCTTTATTCAACAGTGTTACACAGGGGAGGAGTGTCTGTGGGGAGACACAACACCAGAAGCTTCTAGACAGATAACATCTACCAGTGATCGCTGTTAGCGGACAGGAAGCGCCGCCGCCGGTCGGGTTTCTACTGAAACACGGTGAAAATTTCGACTTGTGTTTGAGGAAATAGAAAAACTGTGCTGGTTTCAGAGCCTGAGGTCGCGTTAATGCTACAAAGTCGAGTCCCTGACGGCCGTTTAAAATCAGCTGGCGTTGAAAACTGGCAGGACATTTGTCTTTTAGGGGTAAAAATCTTCTAGTTTTTTCTCTTTTTTCTTTAGTAGAAACCCGACCCGGCAGCTCCGGCGCTCCTGCCGTCGGTTAACGAGAACAGAGGGGGCTAGGAGTACAAAAAAAAAAAAAAAAACGACGAGGAAAGCGGTGGCAGATTTCGATTCGTAGTGATGTTGGAGTCCAAAAACACGTTTTACAGATATGCACTAAACAGAGAGAGAGAGGAGAGAGGGGGAGGTACGAGACGTCCCACCGTCCAACGAGATCACAGAGAAAAGACGAGAACATCTACAAACACAGTCGCCGTCGCGTTACACGGTTCTGGTTTTTTTGGAACAGCGAAAGCCTCCGAAGCTGCCTAGAGTTTTAAAATGCTTTTTTCTTCTTCTGCTGCTGCTGCGTTTGTCGTCAAAGAGGGTCCGAGGTTAAAGCTTCCCCCTCGTGGAATGTTTTTAACTGCATAGTAGAGCTCAGACCATGAAAACAGGCTTTTCTGTTTAAACCCTCCGTCTGCTAAAACCGCCGCGACGCTTCAGGAGCAGCACGACGGACCATCGGCTAAAATAAGAAGCGTCCAGTGGAGCGGCGACTACAGTCCAGGTGGAATGTTTGGATTTTTGGGGGTTTTTTTCATATAAAATCTGAATAAACTTGAGCAACTTCAAATCAGCTGATGTGTAAAAACCTGCAGTAGCTTCAGTGTGTTTCATGATTTCATGGAAAGTTTTATCTTCATACTGGGAATATTTTCTGTTTCAGGCTCTCAAAGTACAAACTTTAGCATTTTTTTTCCCATCATTTCTGAGCCCCAGAACTTCATCAGTGCAGCAGATACACGACACTTTAGGGTTTGGAGTTCTGGTAGAACCTGACACCAGATCAGTTCTAACTCTGGTCTTTGTTGAGCCCAATTAAGTCTATGACACTGAGTCGTAGAGAGAAACGCTGGTACCCTGGATGTGTTTTCTCATAATTAACCCCAATCATACATAACAAAGTGCACAAAACATTCCCATCACAGAACATTACTTCACCACACAGTGAATGGTGTCGACTAGATGATCAGATGCTATTAAATGTGTGTAAAAATGATCCTTTCATTGTCTAGAACTTGTTATATGAGCTTTGAAATGAGTTCCCCCGTCCAGAATCACCCTAAATGTGCCCAAAAGTGTTCAAAACGTGTCCAAAAGGTCTGGAAAAGTCTCCATAAACGTGTCTTCTGTCCAAAAAAAAAAAGTCTAAAAGGACTCAAAACTTCCCCAAAGTGACTCTAAAACTGTCCAGAATGACCAGAGCTTCCCCCAAAATGACTTCCAGCGGCTCTCAGAAAAGGATTCGTGTCTAGAAGATGATCAGCTGGTATCTTCTGGAGGTAAAATGATCCTTCCATGGTCTAGAACTGGTTCTGACCAACCACCATCACACATGCTGATATGAGCCTGGACAGTTTACCCAGAATGCACTCTGTAGAGTTTCCTCTGGTGAATGATCAGAACCAGAACCACATCCAGGGTCAAACAAAGTCCAGACTCACTGCCTGGACTGAGACACCTGGATGGATGTAGAACTGATCTGGTGTCAGGTTCTACCAGAACTCAAACCCTGAACATGTCACATGTCTGTCTGCTGCACTGATGAAGGTCTGAGGCTCAGAAATGATGGAAAACAAATGCACAGTTTCAAACTTTAAAGGCTTGAAGCTCTGAAGATGTTCACAGCATGAAGGTAGAACTTTGCGTGTCTTCTCTAGATGAACTGAAGTTGCTGCAGATGAAGAACCATCAGACTCTGAGGAGGTCTGCTGGGAGAAACTCATCGATGTTTCAGTTTTCTGTGGCACTTCTTTGCTTACATTTCTGCAGATGATCTGTTCATAATGCGTCTTGTTCCGACACGCCGACGACTAAAACAGGACGAGGCTCCTTCTCAGGGGGTCTCCAGAGCACTTCAGAGCCTTCGACGCGAGTCCCTTTGAGCTGCTGCCTTCACCGAGGGTTTGGCGAAGCAGCAGGATGTTTGGTTGAAAACAGGAAGTAAAAAGCTCACCTAGACGAGATGATCCGTCACCTACACACTCTCAAACCAACCAACACCGCGGCGCCGCTCCGGATGAGCGGTGTGAGAAAACCCAGCTCAAGCAAACTCCCAGAAACGGGTTCAAGTTGTGGTTTTGGTAGCTTCTCCTAAAGAGCTTCATCTGCTGCTGGACTGATTCTGCTTCAAGCTTCAGAACAACACGCCTCACCGCAGGATGCAAAACAACGACGGCAGGCCGACTCGCATCGACGCCTGAACTCTTCTTCACTCCCAAAGTTGTCAGCTGGCGCTCTCCCAATCGCCTGTCCAGCTTCCTGGTCCTCTCTCCCAATCAGAAAGCCTCCACGTGCCCCTCCCCCCCAGCGGCCCAATAGGACTGGTTAGTGTCGTAAAGTGGGCGGGCCCCGGGAGGCGATCGGCCAATGAGAGCCTCTCCCATCTAACGACCTGGTTGTACTGTACAGAGCTGCAGCTTTAAAGCCGTTTTCAGCTCGATCTCGTTTAAATTTAGTTAAAAAAAACGGATTAAAATCATCACCTGCTTGTAACATCAAACCGTTTGTAAATGTTAAAAAGCCGATTGATTCGAGTCGACTGAGCTGAAAACGACTTTTCTCTGCCGCTAGTCACACACAAGGAATGTGGATGAATCGTAGCTATAATCACAGGAGAGAGAAAAAAACATAAAAATTCAAAAACCTGGATGTTTTTTTGTTTTTTTTTAACTGAAATATTTTAAGTTACAGCTCCCATGTATCTGCAATGATTAGTAAAATAAAATAAAAAGGTGATAAGTCTACCGTTTATCTGTGTTCTCTTATTTAAACTGAGATATATTATATTATTACTCTCCATTTACACGCTTACTGGATGAAGTGAGATGGGAGCTGTAATTTAACAAATCAACCTTTTTAAAAGAGGAACGCACCAAAACCGCTGAAACAGACTCGTTTGATTTGATTAAAAACAATCAGATAAAAGTTTCTCTTTATTTGCTGTTTCTGGTGAAATCATCAATAAAAGGATTTTAAAAAATGTCGTTTTAGCCTCGAATCCGATCAGGATTTGGTGCGTTCCTCGTTTCATCGCTGCAAAACATGACAGACTAGCTTCTCTCTTAATTTTCTGTAAAACAGTTAAAAGAAAAAAAAAAAAAAAAGCACTAATAAAAAATAAAAACGAGCTACAAATGTTAAGCTAACAAAGTGGTTCTTTTTTGCTCCCCGTCGGAAAGAGCGAGGACATTATTTTTCTTTTTTTCTTGGTTTCTTTTTCGCGGTGAGGGATTCGGATCGCACCACAGAAAGAAAAAAAAACCCGGCGGGAGGAAGGAGACGCTAACTTCCGTTTAGCTCCTCCCATTCTCCTCCTCGTCAGTCGGTCGGTCGGTCGGTCGGTCGTCGCAGGATGATGGAGTTCAGTCAACAGGAAACAGTCACAGTGGGCTTCAGCTCTGAGGGAACAGAAGAAGATCAGCCTGAGACGCTGCTGTGATGTGGAAACCACCGACCTCCACCGATACCCAACATCTGCTCTCTTCCTTCAACTGTTTCAGCACATTTAAGGACTGTTTCTCCTTACTGCTCTGATTCTTATTTTCAGTTTTGTTAAAGATCCCAGATGGTGAAAAAACACTTTCACTGTGTTTTCTATTTATTGGTTATCTACAGAGAAAAGCAAAAACAGATGTTCAGAATCCTGCCTCCATCAAAATCCCTTTATTCTACATATATTGTTCATAAATTTGGTAAAAACAACCAGTTTGTTTGAGCCACATTCTGTAAAAAATAAAAAATTCTGCCTCCTTTGGGGCGACTGTGAGGATACCAACGACTCGCCTGCGACTAACCGTCATGAAAATAAAAATTCTGAGAGTTTTCTCCTGAACTGCAGGCAGTGTTCACACAGAACAGAGAGGAGACGACAACGCTGCCCAAACAAAATGTAAAAATAAAAAAAAAATGACACCAGAAACTATAAAAACAGAATCATTAGATGTTTTGTTTTCTATAACTGACGGTGGAACATCTACATCAGTCCAGACAAAACAAGTCGGGCTCTTAAACGTATTTCCAGTGTTGGTAGCACCTGTGGACACTTGGAATAACTGCTGAACATATTGATTCTGTTTCTCAGTTTTTGTTTAATAGATAATTAGAGGTTTTCTTTTTGATGATCGATGTCATTCTATCTGTCAGGGTTTTGCTGTTTCCATAGAGGAGCAACACTGAGGGGGAAAAAAAATGCTCAGAAACTGGTTGGACTCAACATTTAACGCTTAATTTTAGATTCATGACTTTTTCTGACAAACTCACCAAACACACGAGTTAACAACAACATAGTTTGGTGATATTTCCATGTGAGATTATCACTAACTGAGAAAGTCAGAAGCCTTCTAGGCCACATGCTGATTGTTTTCTTCCTGAAGGGGGCGTGGCCAGCAGCAGCTCAGCTCTGTTTAAAGCTAAAAACACGACAACAGCCTGCTTAAAACACCAAACAAAACCAGAGGCTACACAGTCATGAGGAAATCAACCATCTTTGTGGCATTTAGAGCTGAAAAACACAACATGGGACCTTTAAGTGCTCCTCTCACCACCACCAATAATAATAATAATAAGTGTTCACTATTATTATTATTACCTGAGTTCAGTCAATCCTCCTCCTCAGCCAGCTCAGTTTCTTTATGAACCACCACTCTGGTGACAGACATGTCAGGATGTTGCTCTTTGGCCTCCTTAATGGCCTGGGCCAGTGCCTGCAGTACCGGGGTCCGGCCACACAGTGGCAGCACCGAGCACCGCAGGCAGTGGAGGGGGAAGGAGGGGGGAGACGGGGGAGTTAAATGAAAAATAAACTGAAGAAGAAGAAGCATAAAAGAAAATGACAAGGACGCCGGATTTACGGACCGCTTTACTTCGTCTGGGTCAAATCAGACGAAATAAAAACGCGTAAATCCGACGAATCGGACCAGACGACGGGCAACTTAAAAACAAAAAACATGCAGACCTGATCGAAATAGACGTTTGCAGTTTCAGATATCTGACATATTTGAGGAATTGTGTGCATTCAAACATCACAACCCACAGGTTTAGCTCGTTAAGGTTAGTAGGAAGACAAAACATCTGAAACGGCTTCAGATTTATTTCATCAGGTCTTCAACAAACTCACAATCGTACACGTCAGACTGTATGCAAATGAACAACGAGACTTCTGTATTATTCTGAGAGTTATCACATCTGTATGGGCAGAACATCTCGGTGGACTGAAAACAGAGCTTCTCCTCTTTCTTCCCCAGTGACTCTCCATGCAGCCATGTTAGCCCAAATTAGCATACAAGGCTAGTTTCTGCAGCTAAATCATTTGAATCTTGTTATTTTCTACTCAAATTAAAACCTGTAGTTCATCTACATTTAATTTTTTTCTTGTGACAAATCGATTACAGTTAAAAGGTCGGTGTGGTTTCAGTCCACCAGGATTTTCTTGGCTTGAACGCGTCATTAAACTGTGGAAACGTGACGACGAAACACAAAGACGAGCAACAAAAATCAGACACAGCAACAAACTGCAGCAGATTCTAACGAGTTAATGAGTGACGTCTGGATGAAGCTGATGATAAAAGACTGACAAACAGCGTCGTTAGCAACATGATCGACATGTCAGCAGAGGATGGAAACGCTTCCTCCGTCTACGCTAACAGCACGAGTTGCTGCATCCGGAGAGAGTGAAGCTTCTGGAAACTGACCTGATCGTGGTCGATGTCGCAGTCGCCGGTGATGACGATGCGCTTTTCGATCCTCGTCTCCGACAGGCCGCCCTTTAGCGTCTGTAAAAATAAAAACACGTAACTATCAGCGTCTACGACAGAACTTCTACCTGAAGCTGCTGTTTTCTGGATCGTTTGCATCTCGTGTTCACACGAAGGTTCAATGAGCTTCTCCTCAATGACAGCTTGGCTTTTGTTCTGGTGGCTAAGAGTTGAAAAATGTCTAATTTTAGATAAAACAAACCTTTTTATTTGAACACGACATTTTTAACCCTACTTTTGTCCCGTAACTCTTCTAATACGACATTTTCAACAATATTTTTATCCCGTAACTCTTCTAATACGACATTTAAGCACAGTTTTATCCTGTAATTCTTCTAATACATCTTTAACCCTGTGTTTTTTATCCCAAACTCTTCTAATATGACATTTTTAATCCTATTTTTTATCCCATAAGTCTTCTCATACGACATTTTTAACAATATTTTTATCCCGTAACTCTTCTAATACAACATTTTCAACGCCATTTCTACCCTGTAGTTCTTCTAATTTGACATTTTAACCCTACTTTAATTCTATAGCTCTTCTAATGACATTTTTATCCCTATTTTAATCCTGTAGCTCTTTTTATACAACATTTGTATCCCTATTTTTGTCCCGTAGCTCTTCTAATACAACATGTTTAACCCCATTTCTGTCCTGTAGTTCTTTTAGTGGGCGACAGCATAATGTAACACCAGCTTTAGCTCTTTTAATGCTTAAAACATCATTAAACACCGTTTGCTCCCACATAAACACAACTAATGAATATAAAACTGCTCTCTACATCAACAACAGAATTATTTTTAGCCTTTTTGTACTGTTTGTCATTTTCGTCCTGCTTTCAGCCTCATCTGTATCCAGCTGCTGCGACACGTCAACTGAGCAATCAATCTAGTTTATGTTAATTTCCGGCCGACAGAAGCTGCTGTGTGCGTCCCTACCTTTGTGATGTGTGTGGTTGTTGTGGTACACAGAGACTCGGAGGTGATTGTCTGAGCAGTCATCAACACTCCAGGCTCCCCATCACCATTACCATCCAGCTGACAACACACAGAGACACAAAATCAGCCGCACGTCGGGGAGTTTCCTCCCTGCAGGGCAACGAATGAATGATGGCGCCATGAGCTGTAGCTAGAAAACGGAACAAACCCTTTGGCTCATTAGCGTTAATCGGCTTTACGATAAATAAATCCTACGAATGTGACATGAAACGTGAGCGAGGAGGCGGAGACAAGCCTCCCGTTTGTCGCTGAATGTGCACCTGTGCGGCCTCGTATGTGATGGTCTTGGTTTCCGTATGCACGATGGGCACTTCTTTTGTCGCTATCTCGGTTTTCTGGGCCGCAAACGTGTCTGATATAGTCACCATTTCTGTCTTTACCACCGGCGGCTGAGGAGGCAGGAGAGACATGAGTGAGGGGGGAGGAAAGACGGTTAATACGTTAAAAACCTGAGACGGAAATAGAAAAAAACAAAAACAAACATGGTATCTATGCAACAGCTTTGGGAACAAATTCACCTCCAAGCAGAATTTTGTAAATATTCTAAAATTACAGATGGGGTAGGCAGCTTTTGAGGGGGTTAATAAATCCATATTAATATCATATAGTATAGCATATTTAAATTTAAATAGTCTGACAGGAAACTACACTTCAGCTCCTCCTCTTGGCTTTCAGGTTTTAGAAAATTTGCAAAAAAAAATCTCATAAAAAATGAAAATCTGGCAGCAAGGGTGCCAGAAAAAATATGTAAAAGATATATTGGAATAATATAACTTTTAAAAAAAGTAAAACTAGTAGAAATAAGAGCAAATACCTGTAAAAAATATATATACTTTGTGCAGGTTTAGAAGAAAGATGATGTAATTTTACGCTATTTGTAAAAATGCAAATTTTTTATTTAGTGATGTTTTGATCTTTTTTTTCAGTTAACATGTAATTTATTTGTATAGTTCACGAGTTTTTATCTGTAATTTAACAAAACAAGAAAAATCTAGAGCAAATTGCTATTTATCCAACCTTAACATATAGGATTGTTCTTTTCAATAATATGAAATAGCTGAAAACTTCTGATAACTTTGGTTGAAATACAGAAAAAAAAGAAAGAAAGAAAGAAAGGAAAAAAAGTAATTTTATGGTCAAATGTTGTAAAAGAACAAATTATTATTTGCAAAAAAATATAAAACATATAAAATACTAATTTATTTCTGTGATTTTACTAGACAATACCTATAATTTAACGAAACAGTTAAAATACGTAAAATAACAGTTAAACAGTAAAAGCTAAAAAGTTGTTTATCATTTTTAAATCAATATGAAATTATTTTCTTCTTTCAAATAATGTAAACTTTCTGGAAAACAGTTATAATTTTTTCAGTAAAAAAATTTGATAAATCGTTTTTTTTTTTTTTTTTTTAAGTTTATTTTTTGCAGTTAATGTGTGAATTTATTCTTTGTTTTTCTGCAATTTTACTGAAGTTATCTGTAGTTTAACCAAACAGGAATCTGTGAAATAAATCAGGTTTTAAAATCCTAATAGTTTAGCTGTTAGTTTACTGCAGTTGATGCAGCTGTGGTTGATTCAAGTTAGCATTTATATCAGGACCGTGTTGTCGTCTGGTGGCATAGTTCTGCCTACCCCAGCTTTATGTCCATATTAATAAAATTTCCATCACCAAAATTAGGCCATTTAATAATAAAACACCCTTTAAACGTTCCGTAGCAGCAGCTGTACATGCACAAACGCAGCACATGCAGCAAAACTCATGCAGAAACAAAGCCAGAGCTCTCAAACTCATGCGGGTCACATCTACACTTCATGCAGGTGCAACAGAAAACAAAAAAAACCAACAAAACACTACAACAGCAGCAGCACAACTACAAAAAACATCTTTGGTGTCGACATGCAAACTCCAAGTGCAGCACAAACATGCAGAAAACCGATGAAACACACAACAGCTACGCAAACGAGATGACGTTCAGATGAAGCTTTTCCAGAAGCGGTTCGGCGAACATGATCAACACGGTGAACACCAGTTTAAGAGAAGCAGCACCGCCGCCAAACACAACGACACACAAACACAGCATGCAGAGCCAAAAGTACACACCTACAAGCACCATGCATTTCCCACTTAGGCCCCATTTACTTCACACCACTACAGAACAACACAGCAGAGTGGGAGGCAACACACGGAGAAGACTACATGATGGTGTGGCTGAGAAATTATGAAATGACGTATGGAGGGATGGCAGCTTGATTTCAACACCAACACACCGAAACAATGGTGGCGGACTGCATCTTTAAAGCACTCTTCTGCTGGTTTTACAGGAGTTTTAACCTCCTAAAAGCACAGGACAGTACATGGGGCTTAAAGATTCACGCAAGCAGGAAGGAAACTGGCACTGAGGTAAGCAGGAAGGAAAAGAAGTGGGTGTTTTTCTACGGCTGGCAGGAGGGGTCGAAGCTCCGCTGGTCGGCTTTACCTCAGAGCAACAAATAACCTGCGGCCGCGGCTCCGCTTCCGCCAATGAGGCTTCTCCGTTCATTTTAGGCTCCTCCTCTTCCTGTGCCGGAGCGGCCACGCCCTCTTCTTGGGGCGGGACGACGCCGTTGGGAGCTTCGTCGGGCGTCACCATGGGGTCGTCGGTGCTCTCCTCCGTCTCGTTCTTCTTGTCGTCGTCTTCGGCTCGGCCGGTTTCTTCCTCGGCGGGAATCGAAGGAGCGTCCGGAGCTGAAACATCCTCCTCTTCCTCCTTCTTCTTCTCCTCCTCCTCCTGCTGCTGCTGATGCTGCTCTTCATCCTCCTCCTTCTCCTCCGGGATTCGAGCGATGGGGATGTTCGGGTGGTACTCGGCTTCCTCTTCGCTCTCGCTCTCGGATGAAACGCTCTCCTGCTTCGTCGTCGTCGTCGTCTTCCTCGCCTCCTCCTCCTCTTCCTCCTCCTTTACCCCTACATCCTCCTCCAGCTGCGCCTCCTCCACTCTGACTTCCGGCTTCCTGGTTTCCTGCTCTGCTGCAGGAGGACCGGCTGTAACCGTGACAACGCCAGGTTTGGCCGCCCTGGAAACCTCCTGGACGACAACGGTTTCCTCGATTTCGACTTCGGTCGTCTACACACGCACACAAGCACGCATGTACACGTAGTGCACAAACACACACACACGCAACAAACGCATGGGGAGGACACAAAAACAAAAAACAAAAACAAAGAAGCATAACGTGATCATCGAACATAAATGAAATAATCCAACTGAGAGTAAATCAACAGCAAAAGCAACGTCAGGAGGAAAACCAGACGATGGAGATGGTCGACTGCTGAAGATGAAGACGTTAAGAAACGGAGACGAAGCTGGAAATGGATGAAGATGGAGAACAAGAGGCTGGATGGATTAACAGAGGAGAGTTAGGACCACCTTGGCCGGTTCTTTGGTGTCAGAGATCGAGCTATCGGCCGGAGCTGCTTCTGTTTGGGGCTCGACCACCTGCGTGACAGAGAAGTCATCGTTAATCACACACATTAGCATCGTTAGCGGTTAGCAACACGGGGACGAGTCATTCCTTATCCTGCGTCTGTCTGCAGCCGTGTTTCCATAATGCGTTAAAAAAAAGTGCTTTCAAACGGAAAAACTTCTGATTTTTTTTGCCTAACGCGTCCCACGACCAGACTGTACTGTTGTGGCTCACTGGTATATTTAAAAACGATTATATCAGTAATATTCTGACAAGATCCACTTTTATGTGGGTACAGAAGTAAAAAACATTCACTCTAAACTCTTTAACTGGTAGTGGGATGTATTTATCTTGGAAAAAAATCATGGAAACCACTTGTAAAGTTATTACAATGAGTTCAACAAACCAGCTTCAGCGCTCTCTCTGGGTGGTTTTTCCCTTTTATTAAACGAGTTAATGAGCTTCAGGGCAGATGTAAATCTCCTTTTTCTGGATAAGTTCTGACGTATTGAGCATTTAACTCAAAATCTCTGCTTCTAGAGACCGCAAACATCACGAAACACGTCCAACCCAAGCTGACACGACAGAATAAGGACAGAAAACAACAGTTCGTCCATTTTTCTCTGCAGATGGACACGAGTTTAGAGGACTTTCAGTGATGTGGTCCAGTGTCCATACTGCCATACTTTACTGTCCAATTCCATCATATGTCAAATGCTTGCAGCAGAAATAACAGGAAGCCCTAAAACATCCAGCTGGACTTTGCAGTGTTTTATCGACCCACAATCCTCTGTGACAGTAAACTGAATATCTTTGGGTTGTGGACAAAACCAGACATTTGGGAAACACCAATCTACAAACTCTTGGTTTCTTCTTCTTTTACGAGGACTTTTAGCGCTTGACGAATGACGAGGGTGCATCTAAACATCCAGGACATCCAACTACACACTGGGTCTGGAAGCATCTGGATGTCCGACTGGATTACTTTGACCCACAATCCTTTGCAGTTACGGCTTCTTATGTGAGTATGAACAAGATTTATGTACAGATAGAGGATGTCTTGTTTGATAAAATAAAAGTTTAAGCCGCATTATTTTGAATAAGCAGCATTCCTAACACTATACATACAGCTCTAGCTTTATTTCCATCCTCTACTGTTTATTACAACCACGTGTAACGCAGCCTACAGCGCCACCTTCTGGCGACATCTCAACAGTTTGACGGGTGTATGGAAACACGGCTCGCAGTCCTTCATGCACCAACGAGTTAATCTGTGGAGTTCATCTCAGCAGGCAGAGGAGACGGACGGGCGAAAGGTTTGAGAGAAGAAAATGAAAGAGGTGAAGAGAACATCCCATCAACAGACAGAGAAACTTGTCTTCTTGAACGTAAGAAGACAAAAACAAACACGATATTGAAGTCAGCAGCGACTCTGGGACAAATATCATCATGAATTTAGGTCAAAGTCGAAGCTTAAAAATGTTTTTGAAGTAAGGAAAGCATCAGAGTGAACCCATTTTCAGGTTTTCTTTTCACGTTTTTAACATGCTGCTTCAATACCTGCTGCTTCTAAAGAGCCATGAGCTGCTTTTTTGTTGTGCAAACTTAAATAAAAAAATCAAATTAAAAGCCAGTAAATGTGCAGAACATGGGCTCTTTGATGTGACATTTTTCCCTGAAGCAAAGGTCGAGGCAGCGTTTGCATTAAACATCTTTAAATCAACAGCATTCACATCTGTTAGTCGGTTCAGATTAAACTCGTCATCCGCTGAGCGTCGGCAGGTCACTCAGGACGGATGGACGCAAACACAACATCCGTATTAACACCATTCGTCCAGCAAGCATGAAGAGCATCAGGCAGTTTGTATCTGGCAAGCATCT